AGGTTTGTTAATTTAACTAAACACCCATAACAATGAAAGTTTATAAATTGATAAAATCACCCCACCTACCCACGTATTCTCGGCAATCAGCCACCACCGTCGTAAGGTGGTCGAAATATGTCAAAAAGGTGCATGACCAACTGGATGTGGTCATAGTGAGTCGATGTGGCCTTTTCCAACAAAAGTTCTAGCTGTTGACAACCAGATCTAGCTAGATTTGGTCGGAAATGACTGCCAGATCTTTGGCCGTAGATCTAACTGTTTTCGGCCAAATCGGCGTACTACCAGCTAGATCTAACCGATCGTGTGTCATTCTGACGACTTCCATCCACTGTCCGATGGTGATGGTTGGCTGTTGGCATTTAATGGATGGATGGGGATGTTTTTGTTAATTTTAAAACTTTTATTATAGAAGGTGTTTAACTAAATTAATAAATGTAGGGGATTAAAAAAATAATCTAAATATTTTCAGAAAATATTTTCCAAAAATTTACCAAACACATTTTCATATTCAAATCCTATTTTCGTAATACCAATTTAACTCAAATTTTTCAAAAATACTATTCTAAATACTCTACCAAACACACCCAAAAGCACTTCCTAAATTGTTTTCAAAATTTCAATTATGTATGGTCTGGTCTTGGACCAACTTAATGGGCCTCGGCTGGCTCTCTTAGTAAGATAAATGGGCGTGTCTTAAGTGGACAAAATCAAGCCCAACCCATAACCCAAGTTCCAATCTCGTATAAAAGATTCGAGGTTTTAGAGATTTTAGGTTCTTCCCTTTCCGGTTTTCCAAACTGAACGATGGGAAAGAACAAGAAAAACAGAGAAGGAGGCCAAAAGAGCGAACACAGTCCTTCCACTGTGTTCGTTAACAACTTGCCTTACTCCTTCACCAATTCTCAGGTACCTTTTTAATATAATTATCGACCTGTTTGGTTCCTGAGAAAGCTCAGTATGATAAAAATAAGAAGTTCTTTTAAGTCTTTTGTTAATCGTGTTTTAGTTAAATTCGTTTTGTTATATTTTAAAAACCTAAATACAGCNCTCAAAAGTCAAACCAACTTACTTTAAATGTTATGAAATATAAATATAAATGTATTCACATTACTTTTTCTACAAAAGTTTTTATTAACCCCCCTAATATTTAATTTTATTTTATATTAGTCTTGATTCCCAGAACCGCACAATAACAGTCGGTTTCGGGTAGGAACTGAAACCAAACCCTAGGTATCCATTAGTTTTGGTTTCAACCGATTCTTTTGAACACCCTTAGTTTCATATAAGTATTGTATCTATTAATCTCAAAGTAATACTACACATATAGTATTATATGGAAAAATATAATTGGTTGATTTTAAATTAAAATTAAACTTTTACTTAATCATCTTTTATCACATAATATTATATGAGAATATTATACGTGTAGTATTACTCGTTAATCTCAACCTTGACGAATAGTTTGGAAAGAAATGACGCGGGAATACTATTCCATTTTAGGGGAAAAAAATGTACAAAATAAAAAATAATTTTATATCTTAACCAATGTTTTTGTACCATGTTTCATGCCAATAGATTTAATTGTTATTTTTACTATAAAATTAAGCCAGTCGTAGCTTGCGTGACATGCGATTAGAATAAATATTAAATTATTATTAAAAATCATAAGGAGTGGAGTGCCCATTTAGAATAACTAGTGGCCAAATCAAAAACAGTTTTAATTAATTAAATTAAATTAATTAATAATTAGATTTTAAAACGCAAAGGATATTCATTGGTTGAGCCCTTTATACCAAACTGTAATTAATAAATAATATAAGCTAAGCCCGGGCCGGCACGTTGGACTCTAGAAGCCGAAAAAATAATATGCTTTTATTCAATAAACTAATTATTAATTCTCTGTATTATTCTTTATCATCAACTCATTCAATAAATTAATTATTTTTATAAATCGAATTTGCCAACTGTAATCTTATTTGTTTAGATGAGTCGGTTTTTCATATTTAATTATTTTATTAATTTATTAAAAACATGGATTTCCAAGTTGACAAGTAAATAAATTAAAAATTTCTTTTAAAAAATATGTAATATTTTTTTGGGTCAAAGACACAATTAACAAAGAAATTTATGAAATACTTTATTCTTATATCAATTGAATTTATTCATTTTATTTTATTTTATTTTATTTTTTGGTGATCGGGAGTGTTCAGACAGTTTGTGCATACCTTAACTAATTTTTCGAGGTCTTAAAATTGATAGTCGAGTAAATCCCTTCAATGGCCGTCTTTATTGACAACCCAGATAGATCAAATTTAAGATTTCTTAAACAATACACAAAAGAGTCATAGTTGACCGCTGAATATCCATTTTCTTCACGTATTATGAAATAGTTAAATAATCTCGTTAATATAATAGTTATTTATATTCGTTAGGATGTAGTATCGCTTAAATATGAAATAAATTTGTATCTTTAGAGACCATTAAAAATCCCAAAATAAAGAATTTTTTTAATAATCTCAAATTTTTGTTAATAATTATACGTTTTTTTAATAGTTTTCCAAAATAATTATTTTTAAGCAATTATTCATAAAAAAAATTATATTAATAGTCAATGAGAAATTGACACGTTGAGATTTTGTAGTTGACAAGTACGCGGAAAACTCTATAATATTAACAGTCAATGAGATATTGACACGTTGTATTTGCAAATATTAGTGAAATAATTTTAATTTAAAAATGTTAAATTTATTTTCTGGTGAGGGAAGTGGGGCCTCTTCTAGCTTTAAAAAATCAGACCATTTATAAATACAATAAATTCCCCGGTTCCAAATCCATGACCTGATGATATAAGTGCTGACGTGGCTGGGTCCCATTGGATAATGGATGTGGGAGCCACAAGGGACTCATAAGTCTAAGAGAGTTTCTTGTCTTTGTGTTAGGTTGTCTGTGCAAGTTTTGTTCGGTTGTTAGAATTTCATTAACCCCCCTGATGTTTAACTGAATTACAAATTCCTCTAATTTTTTTAGATAACAAAAACGAAGTATGGTCTAGTTTTATATGTTAAAATAAACGGCATAAAGGCAATTCGATTAAATATTGATTAACTTATAATAGTTTAAGTTTTAACGGTTAATCGACAATAGGGAAATGTTTGTTATTTCAGAAAGAGCAAACGACATATTCCCACCCAAGGTTTAGCAAAATCCCAAGTTGATACCCTTAGTTGTATTTATTCTAAATCTCCACCCTTAAATTAATACCGTTAATGACTGTTGGAGGTGGTTGGAAACGGTGAGTGAGGTCAGTAAGGGAAGGTATGAGTTTTGTAGAAGACATTGCAAGGAGTATAACAGTGGTCTTGGAAGTGATTTTGCACTTCGGAATCGGTAAAAAAAAGCCAAAAACCGTTTGTTTGGATGCTATTGTGAGCCGTTTTTTGTTAACATGAGCACATCTTCTACCAAAACAAGCGCTGACGCACTTTAGCGTGCTAACATGCGCTGCGCTAGAGTGAAAAGTTGAAAATCTGTAAAAATAAAAGAGATGACGTTAGTTTAAGGATGACAATCTGAAATACATACAATCAAAGATATCAATTTAGAATTTCACTAAACCTCGGATGCGAAAATATCATTTTCTCTTTTAGAAACTATAAGAGGAGTTTTACTATTACATGGAATCTCATGAGTTGATGCAACTTAAATTATGATGACAATTATTGTACCCTTTGGACACTTTTGAGCTCTCTTTTAACCTAGCCTTAATTTGGGCATTTCTACTTTCACTTTAATGCACAAAAAACCAAACATGGTGCTCTTGTCTATGATTCCTAAATTTGGTTTGTGTCAGCTTGCAATTTATTTCTTTATTTGAAATTTTGGTTGAATAATTGGAAAGTGAAAGTCCATTCAAAATCTCACTACAATTCCCTCTTTTTAATTCAAATATACCCTTTTGAATATGATCGATCTACCTTTTTTTTTTTTTTGTAACTAAGGTGTTCGGATTAACTTACGCACACCTAACTAATCATCGGGAAAGAATTGCACAGCAGTCCACCGCCATAGTCCACCACTTAAAAATGTGGATACTTAGAAGGAGAATCGAACCTGAGACTGTATGCTTATCTATATTATCTCTAATTCGTTTTAACCATATGAACTATTCACGAATGAGTTTGATTAATCTACTTGATAACGACTTATTATGTAATGCTTCGAACTGGGTGGGGTATTTGCGACTATTCATATCAATCTACATCCTTATTTCGGTATGTTATAAACATGTTTTCATGATTTAAAACAGAAAAAAAAAAAAAAATGATCCGCGAAGCTATAATTGTTCCATTAATTAAAATTAGGGGAGGTTTAATGAAATTTTTGGAACACAAGGGATGTGAATGTTTCGCCCTAATTATAATATATGTTTAATATTTAGGTTGGAGTAGCTAGTTTATGTCTTTTTATATATGAATATATGACTAGTCATAAGCACAGACTGACCTACCCCATCAAGTTTTATCAAGAATAAGTTAAACCCATTGCCATTGATTCAATTATTTTATTATTATTATTTTTTTTATGTACATACGAACTAATCACTCGGACCCTGAAGCAAACGATCAGGAAATCCCTTTAGTGGCCTCCCTTACTAGTGTCTGGGTAGATTCCCTCAATGGCCACCTCTATTAGTATCTAGAAAGACACGAACTTAGGGATCCATGTTAGACACCTTTGCTTTTTTTACCATCAAACTACCTAGTGGTGATTCTGGTTCACACACGCATCCTCATTAGGTTATTGTATGCGTATCCGTTACAACAGATGAATGTACAATTTATCACCGAGGGATACATGTTTATGCTAAGTGCATTGACTTAACACGTTTTTATTAGTTGATCGTATGCACATCTGTTGCTCAAAAGACTTTCATCTTTTATACATACTAACGTACATTTGTCGGAAACAACTATACATACAATAAGTAAACAAAGGTATACATGTATATCATATTCGTTTGACATAATACATTCTTATTAGCTTGAACTTTCACCAATATATTGAAGATCTATAAAAGCTCCTCACACTTGTAAGTACCATTATCATAATTCTTTCTCAAGGACCACAACAAAAGCTCAGCACAATAAAAACTCAGAATGATGGGCCTCATAAAAAGCTGCATTCAAACCTAACATTCATGCATTCATGAATTTAACTTTCTACAAGTGAAATTATTGGTCATAGAAAGTGATAAATTTTCTCTGTGAAAAAAGGACAGAATTTCATCAGTAACTTGCTCAGCTTTCTCTTGGTGTACAAAATGATGTCCATCCTGGATTATGACTACTTCAATGTCAGGTACAAGGGCCTTAAATTCTTCTCCTTGTATGTAATCTTTTATCCCAAATGATTGATAGCCTGGATTTTTGTCACCCGTGATGAATTTTGTAGGCACTCTGATTTTGGCTCCTTGCCATCCTCCTGTTAGTTCCCAATTCCTGAATCAATTCATGCAGTGTGACAGTTTAGAACTAGAAAAGTGTTCGAGTCCTATATCGATTAAGCACATTTTAGTCTATTGGTTTATAAGATGGGGTAATCCTCTCATTTAACATGACTTTATTAATAAGTAGTCAGACCCATCTCAAATTCTATGATAATATTAAAGTTAGGCCTAGTCGAATTGAGTGTTTAACTAGAAAGTAAGGAGTTAGAGCCAACATTACAGGCATGACCATGAGGGAGAGTGTTCGAGTTATATACCGACTAGACACGCTCAAACCTACTGATTTATAAGAGGGAGTAACCTTGAATTCTATAAAAAAGCAAATTAACTTATATGGCCAAAGCGCGTAAGGCGCCAGTGAAACCAGTTGTGTTGAATTTATTAGCAGAGAGTTGCAGTTCTTCAATGCTAACCCAGTCAGGTAATGAAGATGGAGTCTCGAGAAAGTCTATTACATCAACACCAGGAGGAGCAGATAAATGATCAGGACCATCCAGAAGTAAGAACTTCTTCAATATTGTTAAAGAGTCGTATTTGGAGAATGATTTTTCAGCTTTTCCTGGCTCCTGAAACTGAGTAATGTAGAACCCTTCACCAAATATATTGGCGAAAAATTCAATTGGGTTGAGCTGTGGGGAGCGTGGCCGGTAAGGAACACATAGGCTAACGCATGCTTTAACTCTATCTGGTCTGAACAGGCAAAGGTATGAAGCAAGTGTTGCACCCCAGTCATGACCCACCACAAATGCCTGTAGGGTTCATCACAGGAAAATTATAATATAAAAGACAGATTACATGATTTATCTTGGTTCGTTCAGATTAAGGAACTACGTCCAGTATTCAAACAGAGAATTACAACGGCAACTCACTCTAGCTCTCAATTCTTTTTCACATTAGGTTTCTCACTATTACAAAATACAGCTTATCCGAATCTAACCCGACTCAGGTCCAAATATTAAGAAGGATCACTCCGAATGAGTCGTAGTAGACAGACAATCCATCAAGGCTAAGAGAAGTATACACCATATCCAAGAATGATGCTGTGGGCATCTTAAGATGCATATTGAAAACATGTTTTCATGTTTTCATGTGGCCTATCACCGATGCTTTTGTTTCCAAAAATGTGTTTCATGCAGCAATACAGCTGGTTCAGTATCAACAAAAACTGTACTGTTTCTCGAGAAAGCTAAACAAACAGAATAATAACGAAAGCAATAAAAGAACACCAGAGTTTATAGTAACAGATATTAAATAAAGTGTCGGTCATCTCTTAATTACCTGTTCTTCTCCAAGCTTGTCTAGCAGGCCAATCAAATCTCCAACAAGGTGGAAAACTGTATAAGATGCGGGGTTCTGAGGGCAATCAGAGTCGCCATAGCCTCGCATATCTGGAGCAACCACATGAAAGCCATGTGCAGCCAAGTGATTAATCTGGTAATTCCAGCAAGACCAAAGCTGAGGAAAGCCATGAATGAGAAGAACAAGAGGTCCTTGGCCTTTCTCTGCTATGTGCATCCATATCCCATTTGTTTGAATCCTTGTATGCTTTATGTCACTCATGGTGGTGATCCTCCCTTCTTCCTGATTTTTACTTTCTCTTATTAATTGATTTGTTCTTGATAACTTTAGATGATTGAAGTTTTCATATTATTTTTCAATTATGAATGCTTGACTTTTGTTCCCACCTTTTGAAAATTCCACATATGCTTGCAGGGTACGTTTACTATGTTGTTTAGAAAATTCAGCATTTTATTACTTGGTCAACCAGAGATTTAAGTATTAGGTACATGTTTTTCTTGATAGATTAGGTTTTCTTTTTTTGGGCAATGCTAGCTCAGCGAGGAGATAGCTCAAACAAACGTGGCGATGATCAATAGCGGATCTAGAAATTCTTGTTAAAGTGGGTCAAAATAAAATATAATAGTATATAATACTCATATTATATGTTTTTAGTTGAAATTGTCATAAAAAGAAAAAAAAAATTGAGGATGGACTTCAATATACTCTAGATCTGCCCCTGGCTATAATATTATAATAAAGAGATTTGCACTGGAATTGACGGACAACCACTATCATTATTAGTGTTTATTAGTATGGAATAGAAATTGAAATGAGGCGTGGCCAAGTGGACAAAATTTTCAAAAAATGGTTTGATGAGTGGCTCTGATACTATAATAAACGGACTTGGGTAGAACTCATTCTCAAAAACTAATTCAAGGAAAAAGGAAGCCCAACTAGGGGTGGGATAATCCGGTTAACCGAACCAGTTTATCCAAACCAAAAACCGAACCTGTTTTTCGGTTTGGAGAAAATCCAAACCGAATGTAAACCGAACCGAATTTTCGGTTCGGTTACCGGTTAACCGGTTTTCAAATTATCCTTTAATCCAAAAAATTCTTCAATGTTTCATTTAAGTCCCTAAATTCAAATATTTATTATTTTATATATAATATTTTTTTTTGCTTTTATATTTAGGGTAAAACCGGTTTTTTGAATTTCACAAACCGAATCGGTTTGTAAAAAAACCTAATTTTCGGTTCGGTTAGATTTGGTTTTCAGCTTATTTATCCCACCCCTAAGCCCAACCACATATATGTACCGTTCAAGGGAAAAAATGGAGTTTTGAAGGATTAAAACTATAATGCTTTTCCCTTTTTCAACAAGTTGAGCTAATGCAAACATCTAGAAATAAAGTTATGATAATTTTGGACCAGCTTTTTTATTACTTGGCCAAACAAAGATTTAAGTGTTAGGTACATGTTTTTCTTGAAAGATTAGGTTTTTTTTTATTGGACAATGCTAGCTTAGCGAGAAGAGAGCTCAAACAAACGTGGCGATGATATTATAATAAAGGGATTTGCACTGGAATTGATGAACAATCGGACGTGGAATATTAGTGTTTATTAGTATTGAATAGAAATTGAAATCGGGCATGGCCAAGTGGTAAGACAACGGGTTTTGGTACCTTAGAATCAAACTCTAATTTTTGTTTTGATAAAATTTTTAAAAAATGGTTTGATGAGTGACTCTGATACTATAAAAAACGAACTTGGGTAGAACTTACTCCCAAAAACTAATTCAAGGAAAAAGGAAGCCCAACCACATATATGTACCGTTGAAGGGAAAAAATGGAGTTTTGATGGATTAAAACTATAATGCTTTTCCCTTTTTCAATAAGTTTTGATGGACCATCTTCTTTAACAAATAAAGTATAAAGCTAAAGTAAGACTACTCATTTTTCATAAGAAGTTGTGAATAGTTCATGCCATGAAAGTTGTGTTCAATAATGGATCAATGTTCCCCTTGAAAGATCATCCAATCAAAAATAGGTTATAGTATTGGGATGAGATTTTNTGAATGATACAGTAAGAGGATTGACTGATGAGTTGAGATTGACAATCACAGTCAAATGGCTAATAACTTCATTAACTGGCATTAATTATGATGATATAAGAAGAGAAGAGTTGTTGCGTCCTTATCAATGTTTAATTTATTAATAGGAGTCAAAATTCTAATATTAATTACACTCCACATCGTCTCTCGTGATCTAAATTTTCTTGAGCAATGAATCATGACATTGGATCACGTGATTTAGGTTGAGTAGTTTTCACAAGAACCAAACAAATCAAATAAAGTTTCTAAATATCAATTTATTACCCAAAGTTTATATTTCAACCAATCATCAGTCAATTTCAGTATCATTATGACCCTATACCACCACTATTCTATTCTTCAATCATCACTCAAAAAAATCTCTCAAACTCTGCTCCCGCTAACCTTCCCCCTTCTCAAAAACCCTAATAGCCTAGATCGATTTACTCTCTATTTATCACAGAATCAAAAAATATATTCTGGATAGTAAACATAATATAAACTTTGGATAATAAATTAGTATTTTGAAACTTTTTGGGTAGAAAAGTGTCATTAAGGCAAACCTTGGGTGGGGAAAAGTTGTGCACTCAAAATTAAATACCCAAAAACGACAAACTCACAACATACACTTAAATACAAAACCCCATCAAGGGTTTTGCAAATCAAGCTTATTGATTTGTCCTTGCATAAAAAATAACAATAATCTAAAGGTATCTAAATGGTCAAAATAACTATTTAATTACCATTAACCAAGTAAATAAAGATGGGGTTTATATGTTTGTAAAAAAGGTTGGTTAGACAATAACCTTGATAAAAAGTAGTAAAAGAAAATTTGATTAGATTTAGAATTTTTAACTTTTAACTAGAATATAAGGGTAATGACCACTTTTTATACTAGGAGATTTGATGTGAGAATGATGGGAGGGCAGCTAAAGTAGTAATAGATTGGAATGGAATAGTTGTTGGGTTTCACTTTTATTTTTATTTTTTCTAGATGTTTAAATTGATATGTTGTTTATAATAATTGTAGGGAAAAGGAGATGGGCACAGATAGAAAATAGTGTTGATAATGAGTAGGGTTGTTTGATTACTTTAGATGATAGATTTAACTGGAAGGAAGAGGCAGAGTGAGAGAAAGAATTAATCCATGTGGCCACTATAGAGAGGGAGGGTCCCCTAGCTGGTTAGCCATATGGGACTAGGGGTTCCTCTTCTTGTTATTGTGTCTTGAGCCACAAACAATTTGTGTCCTCTTCTTTGCGATTTTTGTGTTGGTATTTTTGGTTACTACCCTCAGATCTACATCTACTTTACGATTATGTTTTGTCCAAACCAATATTATTAATGTTTAATACTGAAATTTGCATTAACGAGAAGTACGTGGGATTTGTGATAGAATTCATGCAGAAGTTTGTATTAAACTCATGATTATGATGCTGGATCAATAAACGAAATAAAAGCATAATAATAACACAAGAAATGGATTTTTAAAGTGATTTGAATTCTTATTGTAAAAATTTAACATTTTACTTTTTTTTTTTTTTTTTTTTTTTTTTTTTTTGTAGAAGTGGGTTTGCGCAAGTTATGAATGAACCTGTCTCGATTAGGGTAAAAACCTTAAGATTTACCAATTAAGTAATCGTTAGTAGACTTACAAATGAAGCAATTTTCTCATAGAGTGACATGTGGAACAGCGCAGCCTTGGGACACGTGGTGTGAATCCATGCTGCATGGATTTACCGCAAAACAATTAGTTTAGTTTTAAATCTACGACAATATACCTTATTATCATTAAATTTTAATATATATGTTAATATTAAGAGTTAATAATATAACATTCTTGAGGTTTCTAAAATAATAGAAATCTTCCTATTTGGTAGAAAATTAATTTGATAAATATTTTTAACTCATAATATTGTAGTCCTAATTGCTCATTAACAAGGTTTTAACAATATGAGGATTTTTGTTATTTTGTAAATTTCAAGGGGGTCTTATTAAAATATCAAACCTGAGGGGTCGTTAATAACTTTAGCGTTCCACATCCCAGGAACTTTTGATTAAGTGAATCTTAAATTATTTGAAGGCATCAAATTTCACTCCTAGGGGCATTACGTGAGACGATGAGAGATATTGAACATTTTGTCATCATATGTTGCTGAAGTTATAAAAGAACAAAAAATGTTGGAGAAATTAAAGGAGGTATAATTACCCATATCTTATTGTTTAATATTTGAGAAGTGGGCTTAATAGAGGAGTTGACATCCCATTCATATTATTATTATTATTATAAATATCATGAATGGACTAAAATATAAATAAATTATACATAAAAAAAAAAAGCATATATTAATGGTTTTGGAGAGAAGAGACTACTCTATTATATCTGAAATAGTACAAATATATATTGTTCAATAAGAATGATGATTCCATTAATTTGGTGATGTGGAACAAAAACAATTTCTAATAAGTATACTTAACTAGGAAGTCCTATACTATACAGTAGGCTTAAACCTAAATAAAATATAGTAATACAATTAACAATATTGATAAATATATTTTTTTGCCCCAAATCAAATGAGCAATTGGATTGAAAAAATAAAGGATTGTCAACCACCCTTTATATACTTTTAACAAACATAAATATTTTGTATAGTTTTGGGGGCATGACTGAGTGGTAAGGTGAGGAGTGAGGACTACAAGAATGAAACTTTAATGAGTTTTTTACGTATATTATAAGCAAAAAATGCGAGAATATTTATTTCCATAATCTCATCATGACCTTTTTTTTTTACTTGGCAATAACTCAAGATTTAAATCCCATATAGATGATAAACCTTTCCCTTGTAAATCCAATGGGATGAATTCCATTTTGATATATTGATCAAAGATTGTAATATATGACTTATTAATTTGAAATGGAGCAAATTATGGATTTGGTTTGGTGATTGCTAAATCATTTTCATATCTACCAAACATTGATAAAAATTCAGCAAAACAGATTCAGTCTAACATGCCGGAAAGGGGGCAACAACAATAAACGAGTTTTACCAAAATAAGAAAATTAAGTTGAGTTGACAGGTTGACCACCAAAATCATGGGCTTTTAGGCCTACTTATAATACAAAATGCTTTGTTGAGCATAAATCAAATTTGTGCCAAAGCCCAATACCTTTATCTTTGTGTTGGCTTTCCTGGGTTCATGTTAAGCAACTTTTGCCCATTTTATTAGTGTAGAATATTTTAAAATTAGTAAAATCCTCAACTCAATTAAATTTTGTTATAAACTTTCCCAATCAAAGATATGGTCGATGCTAGAAAAACCAATCACACTTTTCTTACATTATTTTGTAAAGGGTGTTTTCTCGTTTAAAAATATATACTAAAAGTACACAAAAATCTAATGTATTACTACAAAAAAAAAAAAAAAAAAAAGTCTTATAAATGTAAAATTTTCTTTATGTAACATTGTTTATCATGTATGACGTGTTCTGATAGCAGGAATTAGAGAATTGAATGTAGAAAAGAAAAAGAGAAAAAGGAAGAGTGGGCAGGTAATGTGCAGTGAAAATGGAGTCATAATGATATTGATGTTGCAGTTGTATAATTTAAATGGCTTCAGGCAAAGTTCCAGAAGAATTCTAGTACTCAGATTTTCTTATCTTCTAACATCCAACTACTACTACCACCTCCTCAGTCTCATTGCCAGTCGCCAGACAATGATTTTAAGTCAATATATATGAAATAATAAGAAAATTACAAATAATATATTGCTAGTTTAGAAAAAAGTTGAAAATAAAATAGAAGGGCAATGAAAGAAAAGAAATGGGGTGGTAAGTAAATCTTAAAAACTCTGTTAATAGTATGTAATACTAATAAAGTTAATGCTTTATTATCAACCAATTAAAAACATGTAGCTCTATGTTACTTAGTTTATCTCTCATATTCTCATACTTTTTTTTTTTTTTTAATTTTACGTGCACTTCAATTAACAGATCCTAAAACTATTGACTGGATAAAAAGTCGGTGGTTACCTCTGATAACACGAAGGAGAAGAATCCCTATCAAACCGTAGTTTATTCTCCACTTTTTCAGTTTTTCTATACATTATGAAAGTACGTATCTACCCTTACATTTTTTAAAAATAAAAACAAATGTAAAAGTAGAAACAATTTCCGAAATTGGAAAAGCAGCTTTTTCTTTCATGGTTTACACCCTATTAACAGCTTTAAACATCCAACCCCCACCCACCAAAAACCCTAAAACCCCTCCCTCTCGCAACCCAACCAAAAAAAAAAAAAAAAAAAGTAAAAGACTAAAGAACCTCCTCACCCATAAACCTGGCCAGCACATAATCATCCAAATCAGAGCCGTCCATTTCATCTCCCTTCAAAAACCCACCACCCTCCTCCTCGCCCACCACCCCATTTGAACCTCGGGTTCCAAGTGCAACGTTGACAATCCCTCTAATGTCCACGCTCACCATGAGTGAGGACTCGGAGTCGGAAAAGGATGAGCCGCAAGTCTCTTCGTTGCCGTTGATGGTAACATAAGAGGAATACGACTGAAACATCAAGGGTGAGGTGTAAGGATTCTCGATGAACTTGACTCTGGTGAGAGGTTTCGTGTCTAAAAAGTTAACGAGGTCACCCACTGTGACAGTGTCATCCTCCATCGACAGCCAAGCTATTATATCATCCCCTAAATCTCCGCCACCGGGCTCCTCTGTAGGACGTGGCCTTTTGACTGATGAGTCGTCGACGTCGTTTAGTTCATCACCCTCCCTCTTTCTGGTTTGCTCCATGAGTTAAAAGAGAGAGATTTAGAAGGTGGAAATGGGTCCCAAAAACCAATAAAGAAAGATGGAAACGAGTTTGATTTGATTTGAACAAGCAATGAGAAATATAGAGTGTGTGCGTGCCACGTGGAAGGTAGGGGAGAGTGAGTGACGTGGCGGACAGAGTCAAAGTGATTAGACTTTTCCGTCCATCGGATTGAGCGGAGTGGCGTGATGGCAGGAAAGGCGGGAATTTGCGTGATGGAATTGAACTGATAAAATGTCAGTAACACCAATCATTTACAGTTTTACCCTTTAGTCATATGAAAGTATAAGTAAGAAAACTAATAGATTAGACGTGGCGGACACCGAAGGTTGGCGGTTGCGTGTGGCACATGTTTTGAATTGAATGTAAAACGATGAAATTGCGGTTTCTGGAGGGCAAAAAGCTCATGAATCATGACATCATTGAGGTTAGAATTAAGAATTATTATATATTGTGGGGGGTACAAGTGTCATGATATTTTGAGGTATGAAAATGGAGGCCCACTTTGCAAATGTATTAAATTTCTGGTCAATAGAAAAATAAATTAGAAATGAAGCAAGAGAAACGTGATGGTTAATGGTTAGAGTAATGCCATACTTGCCAATAAATTTTACAAAGATGTTCATATATAATATAATAAAAAATAAATAAAATAATAAATTTTATAAATTTTACTTTATATTTTATATTTTTATTTATTTTTTATCACCTTATTTTATATAAAAATCTTTGTAAAATTTTTTTATAAACATAGTATTATTGTAATGGTTATGAGAGAAAGAAATTGATAATAGTGAGTGAAAATTTTAAATCTACAAGGGTTATATTTACTTACCCATATTAAAATTATATCTCTTTTTTTTATGAATTTTATATATTCGTTTTCTAGTATATGAAAATATTGAAAATAATTGAAACAACCAAAATATGTTTGATATATTTCTATGGAAACACAAAGATAAAACATGGAAAGGACGAATTCAAAAGATGTCTATTTTTTATTTCTATTTGTAATTTGTTGATCAAAATATTTATTTGAAATAAACTTTGTATTGGAATTTGTTTTAGAAAAAAAGAAAAACTTAAAACTTTTTATTGAAATTCTTATAAATCTTTTGTTTTGTGAAAATAAAAACAGAAAATTCATATAAAAATGCTTATCCCACATTTTATATGAAAAAGAGTAAATAAATTGGTACACCAATGGGGCCTAAAATTTTAATAACAGTTTTAGAAAAGTAATGCTACATCCATAATATTTTCTCAACATCTCCGATGGAACAACTCGCAATTCGTCAACTCATAAATGAACAGAGAGACCGTAGCAAATAGACACAATCCATTTATAGGTTGACGAATTGTAAATTGTCATATTAAAAATTATAAAAAAAGATTGTGGACTTAACATTACTGTTTCTAGAAGTAGAAATGCGCCTTTTGTGTATACAAAAAAGAAAGTAAAAAGAATTGTGCTAATTTAAACTGAGTTGAGAAATCAAATGAGGCTGAAAGACTTACACATACCCAAGGTTTGCCAAAACGATAAGTTGGTACCTAAAAGGTTTTGAAACGACAAATAGGTACCTTCCGTCATGTTCTGTTAGTGATTTTCGTTTAATAATAGTGAAAAGACTAAAATGCCCTTGAAAGTTTGATATTGTAGTTTTTTATAAATTAAAAAATTTCTAAAAAACCCCTTAGGTTTGCTAATTTGACTAATACCCCAATATATAAAAATTTTATAAAGTAACAAAAACACCCCCGCCACCTATAGTGCCAGATTCCGGCCACCACTGTCGGAATCTGGCCGAAAAATTTCGTTACGACACAGACTCGTCGGATCTGTGTCATAACGCGTAGATCTGGCATTTTCCGGCAAGATCCGTGGCTGATCTGGCCGGAAAAGGCCAGATCTACTGCCAGATCTGGCCAAAAAATTGCGTTACGACACAGACCTGTCAGATCTGTGTCGTAACGCGTCGATCTGGTATTTTCCGACTAGATCCGTAGAGGATCTGGCCGTCGAGGCCGGAAAAGGCCAGATCGACGCGTTACGACACAGATCCGACGGGTCAGTGTCGTAAAGCAATTTTTCGGCCAGATTCCAGCGGTGATGACCAGAATCTGGCACTGCGGGTGGCGGGGGTGTTTTTGTTATTTTATAAAAAATTTATATATTGGGGTATTTAGTCAAATTAGCAAACCTATGGAGTTTTTTATAAATTTTAAAATTTATAAAAAACTAAAATATCAAACTTTCAAGGGTATTTTAGTCTTTTCACTATTATCAAACGAAAATCACTAATAGAACATGACAGAAGGTACCTATTTATCGTTTCAAAACTTTTTGGATACCAATTTATCGTTTTGACAAACCTTGGGTATGTATAAGTCGTTTTGCCATCAAATGATGAAGAAACCACTAATAAGTCGACCTTCTTGTCACCCAAAAGAGATATATAATCAACAATGCTAGTCTTATAAAGAGGCATATAAAGTTAACCTCTATCCTTCATCCTCATCATTTTTCTCTCTCTCTCACTTTTTTTATTTTTCTTTTGTTTTTTTCTTCACTTTGTAAGCTTCTTTATAAGGATAGAGTTATTAATGTATAATATCAATTCCATCTCCATAAAACACCACATAATCCCATTTTCTTTTACATTAAAACTCTCCAGCACGAGTTTATTCATCGTTTTTCCGGAAACTTCCAAATCAATTTCTTATTGCTCCATCCATTCACAATATATATTACTCATACATCGTATTTTACTTGAGAGCACATGGGTTTCTTCAATTTCAAGAAAACCACCACCTCTCAAGCAAACAAACAAGAAAATCACAGTATTTTCATACAAATTCACCACAAATACCTATGTCTCCATAGCACAAATTACTCTAACAAGCCGCAGGACCTCCATCCACCATCTCTTCAATCTCCAAAGCCACACGTAATTCAACTAAAAAGAATATAAAAAAAAAAGGTAGAAAAAACAATTGTATTTACACAGAAATCATCTAAGTGAACTGCCTCCAACTCATGGTGGATTACTTCGATATTGAAATGGGGCAATGTAGTGTGTGTTATGTTTTGCGAGGCTGGGGCTGGTTGAGAGGGGGGGTGTCTCAGTGTCATGTTTCGTGGGATTGAGATGTTGCCGGTAGGGGCGTTGGATGCTGGGTTTTTGCTGAGGTGGGTTGGTTTTAATTTAATTTATTTTCTTCTCCGTCTCCCGCCGAACCCTCCCCTTGGCTGTCACCGCCGTACCGCCGTCACTTGTACGCTACAAGTGCCGCCGTGAGAGCGTCGCTGCTGGCGAAATCTAGCCGGCACTTGAGGCTCTTGCGCTGCCGCCGGTTCGTCTGTCCGGCCGAGAAGCTGCATTCATCGGCCAAAGGCCCAGCGCAAGTACAACTCGCCGGCCGGTTGCATCGAGTTTCATTCCACTGCCACTCGCCGGCCAAAGGCGGAGCACAAGCACCACTCGCCTGATTTAGTGGTGGTGGAAGAGGATAGACAACAGTGACGCGGGTGAGATTGGTGGTGGTGGTGGTTAGGGTATGCTATTTCAAAGAGGGAATTTGGAATTTCTGATTTAACATTTTTAATTAATTAATTATTAAATATTTTATACAAGATTAAGATTGAGTTGGTACTTGGTATTTGGTAAGTGATGACGGGGCAAAAGGGATGAGAGATGTGGTAACTTGTAACCGGTCAATTTGTAATTGATCAGGCGAGAATTGTTGAATAATGGATTCAAAATTGATCAGACAAAACTCATTGTTGTGTAGACAAAATCCATTACAAACTGCTATGCTCCGTCTGTGGGAAAAAATTTATAAGAAGAGATTGTTAATCTAGTATTATCGATGTGGGTATTGCCATATCACCTATCAGATAAGTGTAGTATTAATCTTTACTCTTTTATGGGTGGTCTCGGGTGAAAGAATTATGGTATGTGGAAGCAGGAGTTGGACACTGGGCCTGGAAAGTAAGCCGGCCTGTGGCAAATTGGCCTAAACCAGAAAAAGAGGTTACTGTCAGGTTTGGATCTTTGAACCTTCACATATAACAAATAAAAACTATAAATATTGAATTAAAAATGCCTTAAATCATTAGATATTTCAAAAAGTAAATGTAATACGTGATTAATTAAGCAAATGATTATATAAATGTAGTGTGAAGCTCCACAGATCGTCTAGGGTGAATCGTTGTAAATGGGAATAATGGATACTCGACAGCCATTATTTATCGGTGCTGTTTTAGAACCAGAAAACATCATTTTAAAATTCTACCTTCAGTCATTCAAATGAGAGCCACTCACAAAATCCATTTAATTCCAAACCTTGTAAAAACGCGTTCAGCATTCTGTAAACATTTCGTAAGGCTTCAAACAGATTTACGAACTAAGAATTAGTTCCAACTCAGAACCTGCAATATTTTCGATAATCCTTCTGATTTTCATCAACAAACCTGAATCATTTGCACACTAAACACAGTTTGCTTATCCAAACACTTCAGATAAAAGATAATTTGCATGGACTTCATGACTGCTAAGGAGAGAGAATGATCACAAATTCATCATAGAGCCTCATATTTCTGGAAAGCTATATAATTTCTGACAACAAACCTAAAAAATAACTTAACGAATTTCTATCATTTTTAAGAAGTCAACCCAATAGCTCAATTAGTTGTAACAATCATATGACATTTCATGACTTAGAACCACATGAGATTACGTGAGACTTAAACTTTTCAAGCTCCGCTAAAACCTCTTCTTCTGGCCTATAGATCAAATCGCTCATGCGCCATATCTGCACAAACCATGATACCATTAACTTATTGATTACCACTTATTATATAATATTTGTTTTGGAATCTGTATGAAAACATAAGAAGCAGAGGAAAAAAAAAAAAAGAAACAAGGTTGGGTGGGGGAGGGAAAGAGGTGTACAAAGCCAAACATTGTAATTATTATCAAAATTCAATCTCACCCATGCGACTGCCATCCAAAGAAAAAGTAAAAGAGAAACACTTCCAATCATAATAGAATTTTTTCTTCTCTGAGTCTTATTGGAAAGCATAGAAACTTTAGAAAAACATATTTCAGCTATTTCCATTATTGAGATGCTATAAAAAAAGAGCATCATACTTTCTAACCTGATGCTTTAGCATCATTATAATGAAAACATTCGTTCAATGAATTTATACGATTTTACCTACTGTCTATAAAAAGTTATGCTTTAAATTCTTTTAGAAAATCTCCCATTTGATATTATTCCTTGGCTATCTCTAATTCAAATTGTTACTCTGTAGGTTCTTTTGCAAGCTGACTTTTTTCCTTTCAATCTTATTCCCAACTCGCCTAAAGAGGTTCCCCCCAAGCCCAAAAAAGGAAAAAAGATAAAACACCCAAAGAAAAAGCAGATGATACCTGCAGTGTGCCCCCTCCACCTGTCGTATCACAGTCATCAGAGACACTAACAACAGTCCATGGATCAGATGCATTCCAATGGAAATCAACAACTTTGTCCCTGTATGAAAAGCAAAAACTCCATAAGAAAAATTACATAAGCAAAATTTCAACAGTAAAAAAAATAGTCAAAACATTGAAGATATTCAATATTAACAAAAGAATAATTTATTTCAGGATAATTTATCTTACGAAAAATTAAGAATTTGGGCTACAATACTGTTCTTAGGCATTATATAATATAATTTAAGATTGGCCAATAAGAAAAACAAATGTAAGGTAAGAAAACTCATCAAAATGAGATAAATTGCCAGTTTAGGAAAAGATCAACATTTTGTCAAACTGAGTTTCTAAACAATTCAAGATGGCAACAAAGTCTTGCACCTTTCATACATGAGGATGGGTATATGAAATAGAAGATAAGAGAGCTAGATACATAACACAAAGTTCAGCGACAAGGAATACTTTAAGCTCGAGTTGATGGAATTACAAGGAGAAAGTGAACATAGACTAAGGATTTAAATAGAAAAGAGGGCCTGGTTTGAACAAAATAAGTTTCACCATAAAACACTAGAAAATCAAAACCCAGTAACTAATACACCAATAGTATGAAAAGGTAGTTACGGACCTGTGCCCAGCATGCTGGAAAAACAAGCCTGCGGGAGAACTAGGAGACCTTGACCCATGTTCCACCTTTTTACCAACCTGCAATAAATATATATATATATATATATACACACACACACACGTTAATCTCAGAAAACATGAAAATATAATATATGCCAACCAAAAGTCAGACAGTCAAAAGCAAAACAAGTGAAAGAAACAGCTTTCTAAAGGTAAGGGGTAAGAAATGCTTCTCCAGGAAGTGTGGGATAGAGCTTTAAGCACCATAGACTCAACATACAAAAAACGTAAAACACGAAACAGAGACAGGCATAAATAAAATTAGTGAACTAATTTTATATGGCTTTTTCAGTTCACTACATTTTATTGAACCACCAAATATATTATTTACATCAAGATCCTAATTTACAAAGTTCTAGCCACAAAAATTCCCAGTCATCACCTGTTGAGCTGAATCACACTAGGCAAGAGAATGAGGAGCAGCTTTCAAACTAAATTGACATAGACAAATTTCTCAATGAATATTGCACCTTGGGTGTGAGTGTTAAATCAACCTCAAATCAGTGTCTCAACAATCTCCTCAGTCCTTGTCTAGGAGAAGCCTTGTAAATTATGCTAGGCACACCAAACTTAACTTGATATGGAGAAAATACGTAGGTGCCCAAGTTAACCGCACTTTCTTATCAAAGAATCAACCTAATTTAACTAAAGGTGAATATGAAAAATTCCTTCATTTGATGTGTTTGAAATGGTATTTTTGTTTGTTATGCTATGAAACTCCTGATACAGAATAAAAACATACATGCAACTGGCTCAAAACACTTTTCTAAGCCTTGAACAATCAAGGCAATTCCTCTGTAGTCCCTACTGCAAAAATATTGATTTAGGTGACTAACCCTTGAAGTTCAGTCTTTATCTTTGTTTTTGTTGTATTTAGAATCGTTCCACTCTGCTGTTAGGTTGTTGGGTAAATGATAGAACATAATTCTCTGAATGTAATGTTCTGTTCATAATATCAATATAGAGTATATTTCATTTTCATTCCTGTGCTTGCTGATTGTTTTAACTGGTGTTGGATAGAGTAGTTTGTGTGTTGCTTGGTGGTTTAACAGGTCAGTGTTCTATCAGATTCAAACATTTTCTTTTTCCCACACATTCATACAACCTACAGAATACTTACAACTGTCTACCATAAGATGCATGATTCAACATAGATGCTGAATATATAAGTTCCCAACACAAATCACGTACTGACCACAAAAAAGCTGCTTGACATAGTTTGAATATTTCACCATCTTTAAAAGAACACATTCCTATTCTTTTCTACAAGGAACACTAGACCCTTGTTTGGTATGTGGAATAGCTCTTATGATAAATTTCATCTTGGGATTGTGATCCAATCCAATTATTTGAGTCATATCGATTTGGGCAGGTTATGTGGTTGGTATGCATAGGGGCCAACTATATAATCCAAAAACATGGGATATGTTACCGTATCCCACAGTATCGCATTATCCCAAGCCCAGAGAATACTATCAGTTTCCCATCAACTGACACATTCTTTCTCTCATTTGCGTTGTTCTTTGTTTTCATTTTATTTTTTCATTGATGCATTTTTTTAAAATGAACTTATTTGTCCTCTAAAAAGGATCTAAAAAGGATTGATTCATTTTTTTACCTAGATCATTATAAAACTTATTTTTAAACAAATGATGATTTATGTTTTTTTTTTAAAAAAAAAAAAAAAAAATTTCACTTGATATTTAACATAAATACTGAGCTGATTTTCTCTACCAAATAAAGTTAGAATTATAATCCTGTCCAATCCCATACTACACCAAGCATGAGACAATATTACACATTAATTCATTCCTCTGTAATTTAATTCCGCATATAAAAACGGGAGCTTAGAGTTAAAGGTAGTCTATATTCAGTTCTTATTTCGTGAACATGTTCACCTTACTATTTTATTATTATTATTATATATATATTTGAGAATAAAAGAGGTATCTAAATGGTAGTTTAGATGGTGCATAGGTCAGCAAAAATAAGGAAACATATACCCAGTGCTAAACTTAGATGCAGAGACACATGCAAAAGCAATCAAACTCAGATAATAATAAGTTTGCCATAGGCACCTTCTCATAATCCCAAATGTTTAAGAGACCATCCTCCGCAGAACTTCCAAATACAGATGATTTGTCTGGAGACCACTGCCAATTAGAAAAACGAATTCAGTCAAAGAATATACAGATGATCATTGCAAAATATTGCTCCATAAGAAGTAAAAGGTATGAGAAATGAAATATTCAATAAAACATGAACACTAACTGATACCTGCACACAGAGAACAGCAGCTCTGTGACCCTCAAACTTATGGATAGGTGACCCAACCCCGTTGGAAGTCAGATTCCGACGATCAAACATGCGCACAGAATTATCAGCTGACCTGGAGACATCATACCAACAAAAAGTCCAAGGTGATTCATCATCTCCTTATCCGTGAAAAAACACAGAGAAGCACAAAATTCAAAAGTCTATCACATACCAGCACCAATACAAAATGCTAAAGCTGAAGAAAAACATTAGAAAATACCCGGTAAGTATAAGATTATCATCGTGGGGATTCCAATCAACACAGTGCAGATCAGCATTATGTGCTTTCTCAACCTGCCAGTGAAACAACAAAAAGGAAAAAGAAAACACAGATCATCATCAGAATTTGAGGTTATATCTAAAAAAAATCAAGCACAAATTCAAAAATTAAGTATCCAAAAAGGTTAACAAGTTCAAAAGAGAATTAACAAACACTCATGCAAAATCCAAGGTCATATCTAAACCTGACTCAATGAATGAACAAACATATTCACACAAAACATGGAATTCACAATTAGAGCAACGATTTGGAAAAATTTTCAGCACAGCTAATAATTGGAAACAGAAAAGAATAACATCCAGAAATCAAGACATTAAGGGGACAAAATGCACATTCGTCGACTACTTAACACTACATTCATTAAGTCAGAAACCAAGTAAACCACTTTGATCAATTCCTCATCAGACCTGGGATAAGAGCCACTCAGGCGTAGAATCATCCCCTCAACCCGATGAAATAAAAAAAATAATAATAATAAAAAAAAAAGAAGATAAATTCCCAAATATTCGAACCAAGTACTATTTCTACAAGTACCAAACAGAACATTCTTCAAACACATACTCTCAAGAATCAAAAACCTCATACATAGTACTTTACATTCCCTGTGGACATCACAATACTGATTTTATCCATTACCAGCTAAGGAAACAATGGTTTCCTATCAATATTTGAAAGCAAAGACAAAACATGTAACAAGCAATAACAGAAAAGACTAAGGAGATGAATATAGTCAACATAACCTTAATAACTGGGTTTGAACCAACTCGGGCATCCCATAAGATAAGGCAAGAATCATCACCTACGCTACAGAACTCCTGTGCACTTTAGCAGAGATAGAAGTTTATCAGGAACAAAAGAGTTGGGGGATAAATTTGCATTGCTACTAACTGTAAATCAGTTGCTATTCAGGAAAAGCAAATAAATGCTCCCTTGATTTCCTGAGAAATACAACATGGCTACAACCAGATAAATTGGTAAACAAGCGCCAGCATCAGCATATATGATAAAATTCAAAAACCTTATACCCACATGGAATAAATTTAAAACTTTATTTAACAAAGAATTTTCAAGCTACCTGGATGGACAGAATGTCACATCTTCAACTGTATCCTCATGCCCATAGTAGATACCTCGTGGACCAACAGAAGGACCATCACCAGCTTTATCATTACCTTCCCCAGGCTTGGGATTCTGTTTAATGATTGATCCACCTGATCCTGCAGATTTAGCTGTGGCTGGATCTGTGGTCGATGTTGTTATATGGTCCTGGATACTCCATAAAACCACCGATTTGTCCTTACCTGTAAAAGAACAATTGTGTTCAGGGATAGGACACTAGAAGACTAATTTTTTAATTATGAGCCATGACCAAAAAGAGAACTCTAAAATAACGTAGCAGAAAAGAATTCCCAAAAGAGTAGATAACGAAACTTTTTTATCCTTTCTTAACCCGAGCTCTGTCAAAGAGCATCAAATATTTGAGATTGGGGACTATTGTTAACCCCTAAACTGTTTAGTAGTTAATAATCTGTGTATGAAACATCCAACATAGGTGGTCCCAAGTAGAGCTGACCTTGGACATCTTGGTCAAAAATAAGTGTCATATCATTGGATACCAATCTATTTGAAAAACTCCACATGCTACATACTATATATCCAAGGCATAGTTAAATTGCTTTAGTTACAGTCACATTGTAAAGAAAACCACTAATGACGTTAACAAAAATAAATAAAATAACTTCTCACCTCCAGAGAGCACATAGGGTTCTGTAGGGCACATAGCAAGAGCAAATTCTGCATTATCTTGATGTCCAGTCAAAATCTACAAATGAAACCCAAAATTAACTTTACAATAACAAAATCACACAAAATTAAGAATTAATAATTCTCAACTATAAATATCACATAAATCCCTAGCAACGTGCTAAATAAAGATTTGTGACAAGAACGTTAATAAATATCAACGGAGTTGTTTCACCACCATTTCTATATGTATAGAATGAATAATCAATACAGTGCAACACTGCCTTGATCCTCAGACGTTTTTGAAGTATATGCACATATTATGTCATTTTGTTTTGGATGTAAACATTATTTATTTCACTTTATGGATCATATACATAAAACTTGTAAAACTCGGGGGAATATCCTAGAGTCACAAAAATATTTTCAGAAACAAACTAAATTTAGCAGGCAACTTCACAAAAGAAAATATATTAAAAAATAAAATAAAGCTGATAAATCCATCTATCATACTGCTGTTCAAGATAGTAATCAACACTCCGTTTCCTGAAGAGAGATGCACATGACAAGCTTTCTAGAAAACATATTTACCAAAAGGGTGCACTTTTACTAAAGTTCCTATCTCTATGAGACCAATTCCTGAATGGTAAAGAAATTTGACCCCACAATCCCTGACTAAACGAACCCCTAAAACTCTCATAATAGCATTTTCCCTGAAGGTGGGATTTGTCAAAAAAACCTTGCTCCCAGAAAGGATAACATTTTAACTAATTAAAGACAAGAAAAAAGAATTCCGACAAAATAATAAATCCTCATACACTTCTGGAACTATCAGCCCTGCAAAAACCATCTATATGAACAATGGCCATATGAATAGGATTTTCATTCGTACGTGTATGTGCTATTACACATTATTTACAATGATAATACAGAAAGCATTAACCAACTTCATATCCATTACAACGCTGGTAAATAACAAGAACTGAAATGAGTATACATAATACAAAAGTAAATAGAGGGAAAAATTTATATATATACTGCATTCCACATTAAGACATACCAAATCTGGGCGAGAATTAGTAGCTCCAAGAACAGCATGGCGGTTAGGTTGAGCTTCAACATCCCAAATGAGAACCTGAGTTTTGAAAAGACTCAGATCATCTAGACACCAAACTTTATAAACCAATAAAACCAGATATGAACCAAACTTGAAATCCGTGTGTCCAAAATAGATGAAAAAAAGCCCCTTACATCTGGACTGTCAGTGTGGGTGGCCACTATCTTGGTATTTTGTGGAAGCTCCCTGATTCTGTTGACCTGCAAAATGATATTCCACAGTCATGCAAAGAAAATGATGTGACTTAATAAATAAGGGAGTGCTCCATCATTCAGAAACTTAAAGCTAAAAGGATGTAAAAATAAAAACAAGATTCTTTCAAAAGAGCCTACATAAGGATAAGTAAAATTTTATTTTGAAATTTTAGAATTCTAGATGTAACGAAGTCACTCCATTGATTGGCAAGCAAAAGGTGCCAACAATGGTCAGTGTATATGTGCATGAGCAAATGTGTATATGCATTGTCTCCAGTGTATTAAAACCATACCTCTCCAGGATGTATGATGGTCTTGTACTTCTTGACAAATGGAGATCGCGCCTCTTCATTAAACTGAATAATAAAGCAATCCTCATAAACACAAAGAAATGAACTAAAACCACATTGAACAAAACATAAAGAAAAACGAAGAATAAAGCATTACCTGAGAAATGTGTTCGGCAGCTGCAACCCTAGGTTTGACAACCTCACAATTCGCAATAACCAGTGTATTCGGAACACTACCATCAGTCTGGTAACACAACAATTAACATAAAACAAATAAACAAAATGTTGGAACCTAAAAAACAAAAATCAAATCGAAGGACGAAACCCGACCTGTTCAGAAAGGTAAAGACGTTGACGATTCTTGTAAGTAGCTTGCTCAAGCTGCGGGCCCCATCTGTAAATAAAAGAAGATGAAATGAAGACACATTAAGTATAGCTAGGGTTTAAGGTGAAAAAAATCGAAACTAAAAACCCTAAAAAAGCGAAAGAAGAGAGAAGAGAAGGGACCGGCAAGAGAGAGAAGGCCAAACGAGGTTGTGATTAGCGAGCCAGTCATAAAGAACAGGAACAAGAGATTTCCACTGAGTGTACTTGTCGTCAACAGAGTGATACTGAGTTCTCTTGGCTGTGTCTTTCATCTTAGGTGTTTGTTGTTGTTCGTCTTTCTTGTCTTCCTTAGGTTTGGGTTTACGGCCTCGCTTCTTGGGTGCCTGTTGTTGATCCATTGTGAGAGATTAAAAGTCGTCGCCACACCTAAACGGTTACAATCAAGAGTTCAAAACCACCGTGAGGGAGGGGCCGGGGACCTACTACACTTCCAGTCACTCACACAGTCACACTGATGGGGACATCCCCTCCCACTCTACCACGAGGAAATTTAACTCTCGGGATATCCCAAGTTAATTGACCCTCAAAATATTTTTGAATTTTTTTTAATTTGGAAAAACTGACGTGGCACATTATATAGATTAAACTGAAAAGATTTAAATATATATGGGTAAAATCATAATTAACGGAAGTTTATTTAAATTTTGAAATTTGAAAAAGAGCCCCCACCCTTCAAAATCATTTAATCGAGTCATATACCCAAAAAACGATCAATAAACACATTTCGTTTCTCTACGATTTTCGGTGACTACAGTGCCTTAATTCTGACAAATATTCGATCATAAAGCTTCCTTACACAAAACCATGACTGACATTCACAAAGAGGAGAAAAACCCAACCCCACTCCGAATCCTAGACTCCTGTGGCGCTAGCAGTTCAAAGGCTGTCGAAGAAGACGCTTCGGTGGATCATCCGATGAGTGAAGGTGGTCCAGAGGCAGAGGAGACGACGGCAGCACAAGAACAAAGAGAAGAATCAGAAAACGATTTTGAAGAGGAGGACGTCGATGAGAATTCAGGCGAGGAGGAGGACGCCGGTGAAGAAAGGGTACGTTTTTTACTTGTTTTTTTGAATTTGATGAGAAAATTGATTGATTTGTGCGAATTTGGGGGAGATGTAGTTGGTTTTATTGTTATGGTGGTTGTGGCGTTTTGTCGAACAGTTGGCGGGCATTAGTGGAGTGGCTTTGTTTGGGTTCCAAAGGATAGGGGAAGGCAAGGGAGGCCATAGTGAGGTTGTTTGTGGGAGGTTGGTGGGTTGGGGATGGCAGGAGGTCATGCGTTGTGCGTGGCCAGCCCTGCAATATGCAAGGCAACCCTCCAACCCCTCTATTCGGCCACCTCCTACCATCCTCAACCCTCCAACCTCATGGAACCTACCACAACAGTCTTTGTAAGGCTTGCATTTGCAAGGCTAACTATAATTGTTGTGTTAGAAGTGTTAAATTTCAGGGTTTTTAATTCATATGTTGGTGGGATTTTAGCTTTGGTGATTATTTGGATGTGTTTTTTTTTTAGTTGTGGGGATAATGGTCTTAATTGTGGTGATCCTTAAATTAGTGATTTTATGAATTTGTATGTTGTGAATGAATGTGTAACGGTGGTGCTGGTATTATGTGTGATACTAATGTTTGTTGGTTGTGCTTGAAGTGTGAAATGAAAGTTTTTTAATTCATACGTTGGTGAGGTTTTAATTGAGTGATTGTTTAGATTATTAGTCTGTAACAATGAATGAATGGATGTTGTTGATGATGGTGGTGGAGGTAATATTATTAAATGGAAGATTAAGTTTGTTTGTTGTGTTAGAAGTGTTAAATGCTTGTTTTTCAATTGATGCTTCGGTTGAGTTTTAGTTTAGTGATGTTTTAGATGTGTTTTGAGTTGTTAATTGTTATGATGGCAAGATTAGTAATCTTATGAGTTGTGCAGTATCGTTTTTTATGTTCATTTACATTGTATGATGCTCCTTTTTTTTTTTTTTTCTCATACACTTGAAAAGATTAGTTGAAAAGTTCATTATATGATACTTTTTCTTTGTTTACAAAGTATTTTGATCCTACAGAGGCCAAAAACACCCACTCCTCGATGCACTCGAAGTCCATATCCCCCAAATTGGCAACCTATTATCTGTTTTGGTTTTTTTTTTTTTTTTTTTTTTTTTTTTTTTTTTTTTTTTATTTATATCGATTATGTAAATTTTTCGAAGCGTAAATTATAAAGACTATAGGTTGAAGGTTGTAAGCGATAAGGTATCGTACTTTCCCGTAAGGGTGACAGTTAGGTTGAGTTGGCAAGTTTTTACGAGAATAATGAATATTTTTCGGGAACAGAAGAAGGGTTTAGACCGATTCAAAGAGAGTTGTTTCAGTCATTTTGTGAACATCGGAGAAAATTGGAAAGAGACGTTCTGGGGGCAATGAGTGCTTTATATGTTGCTGCACTTAGTTAAAAGCCAAAAAAAAAAAAAAAATGTGGTTCGTGGTGGATGGAAAGCCACTACATTTTGGGATGATGGAATACGCCCTGACAACAGGCTTAAGATGTGCGGAATTTCCAGATGCGGCAGAGCAAAAGAGAATGAAAAAAAGTAGGGCAGCAGATAACTTAGCTAAAAAGGTTTTGGCCTTTTGGGGGGGAAGGCGTCTATCACGGGACGCGATTTAGATGAGAGGTTAAAAGAAGGTGGGTATACCTTTCAAAGAGGTTCAAGATGTGTCTGGTATGGTTCATGCATTCGATCCTAATGGCTTCTAACACAACAAAAGTCATTAATATGGATTGGGTGAAGTTTGCAAGCAACATAGACTCCTTTAATGCTTATTTGTAGGGACGGATATCATTTCAGCTTACCATAGACTCCCTGCAAGGAAAAGACATGGCTTTAAAGTAGTGCCAATCTGTCGAGAAGAATAGACCAAGCACGTACAATTTGTTTGGCTTCCCATGGGCAATGCAGGTAAATATTAATAATCTTTTGTTATATTCTTTGTATTATATGTGTTTTAATTATGATATGGACTGTTTTTTTACAATATAGGCTTGGATGTATGAGACCGTCCCTGTCCTAGCTAAGGCCGGGGGGGGGGGGGGGGGGGGGATGAATACTTCGGATTAGCGACCACAATTTCCTAGGATGTTGCGGTGGCACATCAAGAAGTGTACCCATTGGGATTACGACAAAATAGACATGGATATTTAAGCGGCTCAGGTAAGATTAAAGGATTAAGCTATTAAATATGCACTTGCTTTTAAATATGGCTAAAATTTGATTGATTTTTTTTCTTATTTAGGGATTCGTCCGTCCCTTGCTCACAGCTACTAGGGATGAAGCGGACGAGGAGTATGTTACATCCTTCAAAGCACTGGAGGATGAAGCAGATGAATGGATAGTCCGCTTAATGTGAGACTTAGAAGGGGTCACGCATGTGAGTGCAGTTGCAGGGCCACTGCTTGAGAATGTTATTGACGCCGAGGATGATGAAGCTCCAATCGGCGGGAGGGAGGAGGAGGATAAAGAGGTTCGTACACCTCCACCCAATTGGCAAACTGGTATAACAAGTACTGCTTTGTCGAGACATTGGGGTCGGGAGAATGAGGTGGTTAACCTCATAAACGACTTGTTTGAGAGTTTTACAACAACCGTTTATGAGAGGTTTGAGAAGATGGAAGAGCGGATGAAAATGGTGGAGGAGAAAGTTGATAAGGTGGCCGAGGAAGTTGGTATGGTGGAGGAGGAAATTGATGGAGTATTGAAAGTGGTTGAAGTGTAACCTGAGCTGAAAAGATAGAGTTAAAAGAGTAAATTTGTCAAATCTTCTTACACCGTAGTAACGTATGGAAAGAAGAGAAAAATGAAAAAAAAAATTGAGAAAGTCTACGAAAGTGGAGAAGCAAAAATGGAGGAGGTTAAGGAGGTTGTTGGAAGAAGTGGGGAAGTGATAATGAAGGAGAGTGAGGCGGGACACGAAGGAAGTAGGGTTGTGCAAATAGAGGAAGGGGGAGGAAGTGGGCAAGCGAAAACGGAGGAGTTAAAGGTCGATTTGTATAGGCCAATAGAGAAGGAAAAGAAAAAACTCTTCTATGCCTATTACAATGAATCTAGAAGTGACGCCCATGTGAAGTGCAATATAAAATGAAAAGGGGAGATACACATACCTGGACGAAATGTCAAGAGGAGGAGGAGGAGGATCTGTGGCAGAGAAGATGTTAATGGCAGAGGAAGAAGATAGTGTTAATGGCGGGAAGAATAAGATGTACAGGACAGAGGAAGAGGAAGACGTAGAAGAAAAAGAAGATGCAGAAGAAGAAGAAGAAGAAAAAGATGTAGACGAAGTTTAGAAGAAACAACAACCAGGAGAGGGATGCGTTAATGGCGGGAGGAAGAAGAAGAAGGTGTTTGAGTTTGTTTGCAAGAATTTCGGCTCTTTGGGGACATATTATAATTTTTAAAATATTACACAATACTTCATTAATCCTAATTAACCACTAATCATGTTTAATTAACCTTAATTAATAACAAGGCTATTTACTTAACACTTTCAAACTACATGGCCTTTTAATTAAATTTAAACTTGATATGCCCTTTTAATAAGATGCCCCCTCTACTCTCTAGGTCTTTTTACTGTAAAATTGAGTGGTTATTAAGAGATAGGATTTAAAAATTAACAAAAACACTCCCTAGGTTTGTTAATTTACTAAACACCCCTTAATAAAACATTACAAATTAACAAAAGCACCCCACCTACCCATTAAATACCTACAGCCAACCACCATCGCTGGAGGGTGGCCGGAGTCGACTAGATCTTGCCAGTCGTGCTCCAATATGGTCTTTTCCAACCAAGTCCACCGTGGATCTAGCCAAAAAAGGTTGGACTTACGGCTAGATCTAGCAACTGACGGCCAGATCTAGCCGCGTTTGGGCATCAACAACAGAAAAGATATGGCTGTCATCAATGACTAGCTATGGCCAAAAATCTGGCCGTCAACGGCCAGATATTTGGCCATAGATCTGGTCTTTTGGCCAAATCCACAGTGGATCTGGCCAGAAAAAGATAGATCGACACACTACCGGCCAGATCCAACTGGTAGTGCTCCATTATACCAGATTTTGGTCACCTTCCAGTGGTGGTGGCCGGAATCTAGCAAATGTGGGTTGTTGGGGGTGTTTTTGTCAATTCCTAAATTTTTTTTGGGGGGTGCTTAGTTAAATTAACAAACCTAAGGGGTTTAAAAAGAATTGAATAACATATAATAGTATTTTCAGAATAAAAAAGCAAATGTGTATTTTTGATAGGATAGGAATAAAATAGGGGAAAATTGTGAAACAAACAGCACAAATATTTTGTTTCTCTATTCTCAAAATCCTATCATAAATTATTCAGGTGCGTTTGTTTCCTTTTTTTCAAAATACTCTATTCATATTCTTTAAAAAATGCATGTTTGTTTCCCTATTCTCAAAATTTTATCCTATAATATTCAACTATTTTAAACCCCCATAGGTTTGTTAATTTAACTAAACACCCCCAACAAAAAAGTTCTATAAATTAACAAAAACACCCCCACCCACCCACATTTGTCAAATTTCGGCAACCACCGCCGGAAGGTGGTTAGAATTTGGCATAATGGCACACCACCGACTGGATCTGACCTCTTTGGCCACATCTAGCCGTCAATGATGACTAATATATGTCCATCGTTGACCATTAACAACAGTCATATCTTTGGCCGTCAGCTAGATCTGGCCGTCAATGGCTAGATCCGATTTGGTCGGTCATGCACAATGACACCAGATTCTGATGGTAGTGGCTGGAATCTAGCAACTGCGGGTGGATGGGGGTGTTTTTGTCAATTTATAAACTTATTATTATTGGGGGTGTTTAGCTAAATTAACAAACTTAGGGTTTTTTTTGTTAATCTTTAAATCCTACCTCGTAATAATAACTCAACTCAACTTAATAATAATATTTCAAAAATACTACTTAAAATAATAAAACAAACACACCCTTATTTCAAAAATACTACTCCGATTAACTAAGCAAACGCACCTATATTTAAAAAATGAATCAATTTTACCAAAATATCCATTTAATCTTGTTGAGGGCATTTTAGGTGTTTTCATAAATAATTTAGAATGCTAAAGTGTATATATATATATATTCGTCTAATTAAATATGTTTTCATAATTTAATTTATTTTTTCCTTTTTTTGTCTCCCTACTTAGCTCCTTCCACATATATTTATTTTGTAGGTAGAACAGTATGTGGGGGTGTAGATATTTCTAGAATTGTCTGTTCTAAATGGGTGAACCTGTGAGGCTGTGACCTGTCCATCTATGTCAATTTGATAGGAGCGTGAGGGGCAGACTGACTGCCAAAAGCCAGTAGCTTAGCCCTCAAGCATTACACAAATTTACTGTTGATTTTTTTTTTTTTTTTTTTTAACTAATGCTAAAAAAAGAAGAGGCAGATTGAATTTGTTAACAATGATGGGATTATGCAATTCTCTTAGGATTGTCTCATCAAGCGTTAATCAGCATGAGATCCCAGCGAGTTGGTTCAAGTAATATTGAAGGAAAGAAAAGTCTGCAATCTTGACGGCTACCGCCACGATTATTACATTCATTAGCCTACTACTCGGAGGAGTAAACGCAGTGGAGAAGAACCCATCGTAGTTCATAACTTCATATGTCTCCCCCGGTGTTAACGAGTTCAAAATGCATTTAAGATACAAACACAATTGAATTTTACTGAGCTACTTTCATTTAAGAATTAGAACGCTGCGTTAATCAAGTGCACACAGCTGACTTAAAACTTAGAAATAAGCCCTCAGTGTTATTGATGTAAATTACCTCATAAAATCCACAAAAAATGCATTTAACTAACATTTGTCAAACATATCATTCTTCATATATAACTGATCCTGCTTAAGCAAAATTATAACTGGTTCAACAGTTTAAAATTAAACATAAACGCCAGAAGCAAGTAGCAAGAATAAGGACCCGAAACCCTGCACCAGAAAGATCAACATTAGATGTCAGCAATGAAACAAACTTCCTGGTAATCTGTCTACAAATATCGATACAAATGACATGTTAATACATACTAGGAAGACAGATGCTACTGCTCCTGTTATAAGCTCCTTGGCAAGACAGCGATTCTGCCTAGAGGAGGTTGCTTCATAACTGCAAATAACAAATAGCACATATCATTAATTAAAAGTGGGTAAAGAAGATAAACCGTGCACAACTTTAGAGTTTAAATTGCTTAATCCCTAGAGATAAGGATGATGGTAATGGAACCTATAAAACATGAACATCATTAAGATTTCATGAGAAAAATAAGATAATTAATAAAAGACAAGAATTCTAATAGGATAAATAGCCATAGTTAAATCAAAGTACGATTGATAAAATATATTTAACTCATAATTTTCATACTCATACTCCCTGCTTCTACTACCACAAAGAACCAGTAGATGTATATATGCCAAAGGAAGCAAGCATATCATCAGGTGCAGCTCAACTGATCTAACCAGTTCACACAGGGATTGACATCTTTGTATTAAGAAAAAAAATAAAATAAAAAAAGATCCACCTTCTCAAGCTGCTCCAAATTTCTATCAAATAACCAAGTTAAATCAACTTGTGCTTCTCCCAGGTTTCACCTTCAATGAGTGCTTCCATCCAATAAAGAAAGAACACTTTACCAGGAAGATTTAAATCATAAGGGCTCACAAGAAAAACAGACCCCTAAGTTCAAGGTTGTCAAATATAGAACTTTTATAAGGAAACAACCAGATTAGTGTCACTAAATTCATGTAGCAGCAATAAAGGTCATACATCTTCAACCAGAGAAGGCACAAAAAACAACAAAAATCAAAAGCAGTAGAACTTGTGCGAGTCCTATAATCAGCAATAGAAGCTTAACTATGCAAAAAAAAAAAAGAGAAAATGCACAAGTGAATTGCACCTTAGAAGGACTTTATCCCCCAGCATAGAATTATCCTAATCACATAGCAAATGATATAAACAAAGAAAAATATGTTTGACTGACAAAACAAACAGTGCCAATGAGTTAACTCTGCTAGAACATGAAGGCCAAAAACTGTAAAAGTCATGATCCTACATCACTGTAACATATGAAGAAATTAAATTAAGACCGCTTAAACATAACCAACAGAAAAAAAAAGTCAACACATAATCTCCTTATAGAAACAGTTGAGATCAATTTAATCTTCTGGCAGATTCGAAGTGTCCCCTTCATCTTCATTTTGCAAAGCAAATGATGTGCAAATTCATACATACAACTGGAGGCAATTCAAAGTCAGTAACCATTATAACTGCATGCACACAAAATTGGAACTTATATTCTAGCTTGACTGTATCCCTGCTTTAATGAATAGGTTCCAACAATTTCCAATATCCCAATTCAATATGGACTGTGCATTTAACACTTAGTAATGTAGAAAATATATGGGAAACCAAACCAATCGTAAAAAAAAAAAAAATTGCAAAAGCTATTGGCTTATTTTGTTTACACAGAATAAACCTTCGCATTAGCAAATTTAAATATAACAGCGCTTGTCTAGACATCTGATGATTAGATATACTGAAGAACTAAGAAAAAAATGCTCAAGGATTACCATCCAAACCCCCCAAGTGCATTAATATAACAATTCAGCCCGAATTCAATCAAAATTCTATCAGTTACATAGTTAAATGGAATCATAAGCAAGAATCCCATGAATGTGAATATCTACCAGTCAGTCTAGATCTACAAATCTAAAAAATTCAAATGTAATATATCTAAAAGTGATCCGTTTTCAAAATAAAAATAAAACAAAAAGCAAACAAACAATCAATAAATATAACTCAAATTGGTTGCAGAATTAAACAATAAAAATAAAAAGAAAGAAAGAATTTTCGGAGAGGAGATCGAGCTTACATGAAGAATGAAGCAGTGAGGAGGAGACCTATTGAGAGCATGAACACAGATAGGGTCGGGTACCACGCATCCGGCACTGGACTTGTAATGGGTTTTGGAGCCTTCAGAAAAAAAACGTGATCAGAAATACAAAAACACATAAAATGCTTTAAGCTAACACTTTAGACAGAAATGATGTAAATTGCAAGGATTTTACCATGGCAGACGGTGGTTAACAAACGGATCTCAATCTACTTGGACGATGTGGAGTGAATTGACGCGCCTGCGTTCTGAGTCTGAGAGCTGACTGCCGAGAGGTTTTTGTGCATATGTAGGAGTCTATGTGAGTAGACGTGTTATTCAGTGCTCCGATAGCACATTAAAGCTCGTGCTCTCTCACTGGTGGCCGTTGATGTAAATGATGAATTTTTTCCTGTTGACTTTTCTTTTTACTGCTTAAAGTAAAGAATAAATGGATTTGAAAATTTTTCAATTTTTTTTATTATTAAAAAAATCTTATATTTATAATAAATAATTGTATTTGAACAATTTTGGTGACAGTATTACAAAAGGATCAAATTAAAAAAAATGATAATTCATTTTAATAATATAACCATTTTAATTATTTCTAAAGTTATTTTATTTATATAATTATTCTATTGGTATTACTAATGGATGAAACTGATATATTATGTATTAACCACTTTAACGGTCAACTAAAACTCTTAAATGTATTATTCAATAAGTCCTGAGTTCGATCCTCTTGAGTTACTAATAGGAGATTTGCCCGATGGTCAACTAAACTTCAAGGCTCCAATGGATTAATTTAGGTCACCATATATATATATATATATATATATATAAAGTAGAATTGTGACAAAATTATTCGCATTATGTTCATCTATGGAAAAATAAATTAAAATATATAAATAAAAGAGCATAATTACTTGAAATTTTTTTACTATTCTAAAAGTATTCATTTCCTTTCATGATACATTATATTCTGTACATTTGAGTAAAAAATCCATTCCTTTATCTTTCTCTATCTCTTTCAACATCACCTTATTCATTCCCCCACTCTTCCCATTTTCACTTCACTCCTTCTTTTGTCTGCACAAAAATCTGCAGTCCCCATCACCTTCCTCTTTTTCCATTTACTTGGCTTGGATGGACAAAATGACTGAGAGTGCTAATGAGAGTCCAAAATTTTTGACTGAGGAAGTCAATCTACACAAATTTATATATTTTTGGTTTTCAATATGAGCCCGGCCATAACCTGAATGCACCACCATGTTCACTGACACTACCTGCAGATAATCTCCTTACTCTTTGCCAGAACTGTTTGCCCCTTCCTGTTCTTGACGGACCTGAACTCAAGCATCTCCTAAATGAACCGGATTCTTCCTTACTGAATCTTGCAGATGAACTGAATAGTTCTGATACTGGAAGTCCTCTCTCAGAGTCGATGCCATAATTGTAGTTAGGAACCGAGTAATGGCTCTGCAAAGGATTAGGCAATCGTCCAGAGCCTGTACTGACCCTTTCGTCCAAATCAATGGACAAGGTATCATGGCTAGAACTTCTTGAACCCACTTCCTTTGCCTCATCACACTCATTGCATACTAATTTTAAGGCCTGCACAACCTCACCCATGAAAGGACGGTGTTGTACCTCTCGTTGTACACACATTGAAGCAATAGCTGCCACTTTGGCCACGCTATCAAAAGGGACATCAGATCCAAGAGAAGGATCAATAATTGTTTCCAAACCTTCTCTGCTTGTGAGGAGTGGACGGGCCCATGCCACCAGATTCTCTTGGCCAGGAAGCTGTGACATGTCTACTGGTTTTCGACCAGTTAGGAGCTCAAGGAGAACAACACCATAGCTGTAAACGTCACTCTTCACAAGAAGATGTCCTGTCATTGCATACTCAGGAGCCACATACCTGGATGGAACATTTATTTCACATTTCAAATTAACAAGCAAATCTTGTTACGTTGTCTATTTGAATCTTACAACGAAACGTTATCGATCTTCTACGAATTTGCTGTAAGTTGTTGGTTCGTTTTTACTTTTTATGATCCCAACTCCAGTATTTATTATTCTTTCCTTGATCTTTTACTAGAACTAGACATAGAAAATTTGTACGCTAAGCCTTGTATACAAAGTGACATCACTTAAAATAAATAAAAGATGAATATAAAAGTCAACTCAGTAATAAGGATAGATGATATGATAATAAGGGGACGTTTGGTTAGGGGTTAAGTGGGATTACTGGGATTATGTCATCTTATATTACTTGATTACCATGTTTGGTTGTCAAGTAATATAAGATACCGGTAATCTTTAAATATCAATAGTGGTTACTATTGGTAATATCAGAGGTAATCTGATTACCTCCATTTTCTTAGGTATTCTGAGATTACCAGGGTTATCTTTTTTTGTTACAATTTTATCCCTTATTAATTAAAATTTTGGACAATAATACCCCTACTTTAAAACAAATTTACATTAATATTCTATTTCAATTTTACCCTTGTTAATTAAAATTTTGGACAATAATACCCTTATATTTAAAATAATTTACAGACCACCACTCACCCAGCCACCACCGCCACCCAGCCATCACCGTCGGCAGCGGCCAACCACCATGGACCGCCGCCAAACAATCGTCGAAGTCCCTGAAAAGGAACGAAATTCCGTGGGAGGCTTCGCTATGGCCGTTTTCGGCCATATTGATGGCCGAAAACGGCCATATCAGGCCAGATCTGGCCGGAAATGGCCACAATAGTCGGAAATGGCCAGATCTATTGTGGCCATTTCCGGCCAGATCTAGCTTGAGAAACGGCCATATCGGAGCCTCTTCGTCACGGTGAGGTACTCACGGGTGCTTTCGGAGATTTCCGACGGTGGTTTGCGGTGGCGGCAGGAGGCGGCAGGAGATGGGGGTAATTTCGTCATAAATTAAAGTTTTATATAAGCGGGGGTGTTTTAGCTAAATTTGAAATATTGGGGATTAAAAGAAATTATTCAAAAATTAATAATAAAAATAATCTTATATTAATATTTAAAAGGGGGACAATTTAGTAATTTAAATAACATACCCACCAATTTATTCCCCATAACCAAACATATTCATATAACATACCCACTAACTAACCAAACACATTTTTTTAAAGATTCCCAGTAATCTTCCAAGGTAATCTATCTTCCCAGTAATTTAACATTCCTAAACCAAACGCCCCCTAAGAGTAATGTCGCATCATTTGCATACATCTCTTTCATACAAGCTTTGTACGTGTAACTACGCCTTCAGGAATATATCATATGCAATAACAATGNCAATAGAACAATGCAACAGATAAACTTAGAATGTTGCTTTGCAATAGCTCGAAGATGCTTAAACGACATTCAACAACCAAGCAAAAATGAAAAATACTTCCCAACTCCAGTATTTATTATTCTTTCCTTGATCTTTTACTAGAACTAGACATAGAAAATTTGTACGCTAAGCCTTGTATACAAAGTGACATCACTTAAAATAAATAAAAGATGAATATAAAAGTCAACTCAGTAATAAGGATAGATGATATGATAATAAGGGGACGTTTGGTTAGGGGTTAAGTGGGATTACTGGGATTATGTCATCTTATATTACTTGATTACCATGTTTGGTTGTCAAGTAATATAAGATACCGGTAATCTTTAAATATCAATAGTGGTTACTATTGGTAATATCAGAGGTAATCTGATTACCTCCATTTTCTTAGGTATTCTGAGATTACCAGGGTTATCTTTTTTTGTTACAATTTTATCCCTTATTAATGAAAATTTTGGACAATAATACCCCTACTTTAAAACAAATTTACATTAATATTCTATTTCAATTTTACCCTTGTTAATTAAAATTTTGGACAATAATACCCTTATATTTAAAATAATTTACAGACCACCACTCACCCAGCCACCACCGCCACCCAGCCATCACCGTCGGCAGCGGCCAACCACCATGGACCGCCGCCAAACAATCGTCGAAGTCCCTGAAAAGGAACGAAATTCCGTGGGAGGCTTCGCTATGGCCGTTTTCGGCCATATTGATGGCCGAAAACGGCCATATCAGGCCAGATCTGGCCGGAAATGGCCACAATAGTCGGAAATGGCCAGATCTATTGTGGCCATTTCCGGCCAGATCTAGCTTGAGAAACGGCCATATCGGAGCCTCTTCGTCACGGTGAGGTACTCACGGGTGCTTTCGGAGATTTCCGACGGTGGTTTGCGGTGGCGGCAGGAGGCGGCAGGAGATGGGGGTAATTTCGTCATAAATTAAAGTTTTATATAAGCGGGGGTGTTTTAGCTAAATTTGAAATATTGGGGATTAAAAGAAATTATTCAAAAATTAATAATAAAAATAATCTTATATTAATATTTAAAAGGGGGACAATTTAGTAATTTAAATAACATACCCACCAATTTATTCCCCATAACCAAACATATTCATATAACATACCCACTAACTAACCAAACACATTTTTTTAAAGATTCCCAGTAATCTTCCAAGGTAATCTATCTTCCCAGTAATTTAACATTCCTAAACCAAACGCCCCCTAAGAGTAATGTCGCATCATTTGCATACATCTCTTTCATACAAGCTTTGTACGTGTAACTACGCCTTCAGGAATATATCATATGCAATAACAATG